CTGTTGATGGTCACACATTTATTCTTGTAGTTACTGTAACTTATTTGTTTATGGAAATTCAAATTTGGGACTAAAATGTTGCAATTCATCAGCTATCAACAACGTAACAAGCCTGATAAGTGACAGAAAATGATAACTGCTCGCCAGCATGAGTAATGTACTTTAGTCATGGACTAAAGTATGTCACTGTACTGACTGTGGGTAGTGAAAGGAATAACGTGGACCTCATGCTAACGTGCCTAAGTTTCTATGACTCTGAAGTTAAAAATGGATTGGCACTGTATAACTTTACGGGTTTAGCGCTCCGCCCATGATTGTACTAATAATTTAACCAAGTTTATCATATAGAGTCGTCCTCAAGAGGGAGCTGGACAGATACCTAAAGTCGGTGCCGGATCTGCCGGGCTGTAGTTCGTACGTTGGACTACGTGCGGCCAGCAGTAATAGCCTCGTTGATCAGGCCCTGATCCACCGGAAGGCCTGGTCGTGGACCGGGCCGCACGGGCGTTGATCCCCGGAATGCCCTCCAGGTAGAGACATAATGCGTGTTACTTTATCATATATATAACTAGTGCTTCCCTGAAAGCATATTTCTTTATGCTTAACAACGGGCTCTTGATCCAAGGAATTGAACTTGTCCTTCCTTTTCTTGGGTGGAGCCGCACTACCTTCCATTCACCAGGTGCTGTGACTCCTACCACGACACCTGCATTATCTTACCCGTTATTGAAACTGCAGTTCAATTAATTATACACTAACATCAGAATACTTTAATTCTTCAAACAAGAATTAAAGAAAAACTTTATGTATATAAAGAGGAAATCTACCCTTTCGGTGTACATACCGAGTTTAATTAATTTTGCCACTGTCAAAATATATCTGGTGTGGGTGAAACTGTAGTCACACCAGTGGGGAAAAGATGGCACTAAGTAGAAGCCACAAAAAAGTGTATGTTATGGCCGCCAGGGTAAGTGATACTGACATGTTTTTACCCTCACAACCAATTGTCCCCTTTTATGGCCAAAACCAAGTCAGGGTTTTCAGCCTGACGCTTTAATTTGAGGGGTTTTGTAAAACTCTCAGTAATTAAGGTTCAGCCTGGTATTTCATGATGAAGGTTTTTCTTTTTTTTTTTTTTAGCTGACAAGAGAATATATGTGTTTGTGGGGATAGTGAAGGAGACACAGCAAACAAAAGTGGCCACAAAGCTGTTTATCCTGTCATGTAAGGAAGAAATATTACTGAGACAAGACTGCAGCCTCAGTCACAACTTAGATGCATCACACACCCAGTGGGAGCAACCTGACACTTTCATAGCTCTTCATTGTTATATCTGATCATGTTAATGTTAAACTAAAACGATAGTTCATCATATATTGTTGACAAAGGCATCATACACGAGTGTGTGGACAGTCTCTTAAGTGTGAAGTAATCTGAGCACCTTTGTAAAGAACCGCTACACTCCCTACTCGGGTGTATATTTATGTTTTTATCAACAAATCTTATGAGTTTATGAGTCAGTTCCGTCCTTTTTTACCTTATTATTCTAAACAGAGTTGTATTGTATTTTTTGCTATTTATGCCCCCTCCAGGGAGGTGCCATAATGTCCGTGAGAGGCTCTTGATCCAAGGAATATGATACATCCTCCCTCTCTCCAAATCGAACCTCATTGCCTCTTGTTACCACTGGCGCTGCATGACCCCTACGAGTTTAGTGTTTCTCCAACGAATGTAATAATAATCTGGCTTTGAATAGCCAGAGGATTCCCTTCTTGTCCTCCGAGGCGCTGATATATAAATGAGAGGTGAGTAAGGAGGACCTAATGAGGTGTGTAGTGTGAGTCAACACACGAGCCTCACTGCTACTGCTGTTTTGTTCGTTAGGAAAAAATATCTCTCGACGCAGATCTTTGTCATGTGATGAGCTGCTGAGAGTCAACCACTGGTGGTGTGCTGGTTGCCAGGGATCCACTCCACCAAGTAACCACTGGTGGTGTGCTGGTTGCCAGGGATCCACTCCACCAAGTAACCACTGGTGGGGTGCTGGTTGCCAGGGATCCACTCCATCAAGTAACCACTGGTGGGGTGCTGGTTGCCAGGGATCCACTCCACCAAGTAGCCACTGGTGGGGTGCTGGTTGCCAGGGATCCACTCCACCAAGTAACCACTGGTGGCGTGCTGGTTGCCAGGGATCCACTCCACCAAGCAACCACTGGTGGGGTGCTGGTTGCCAGGGATCCACTCCACCAAGAAACCCCACTGGTGGGCGTGCTGGTTGCCAGGGATCCACTCCACCAAGTAACCACTGGTAGTGTGCTGGTTGCCAGGGATCCACTCCACCAAGTAACCACTGGTGGCGTGCTGGTTGCCAGGGATCCACTCCACCAAGTAACCACTGGTGGGGTGCTGGTTGCCAGGGATCCACTCCACCAAGTAACCACTGGTGGCGTGCTGGTTGCCAGGGATCCACTCCACCAAGTAACCACTGGTGGCGTGCTGGTTACCAGGGATCCACTCCACCAAGCAACCACTGGTGGGGTGCTGGTTGCCAGGGATCCACTCCACCAAGTAACCACTGGTGGGGTGCTGGTTGACAGGGATCCACTCCACTAAGTAACCACTGATGGCGTGCTGGTTGCCAGGGATACACTCCACCAAGTAACCACTGGTGGGGTGCTGGTTGCCAGGGATCCACTCCACCAAGTAACCACTGGTGGGGTGCTGGTTGCCAGTGATCCACTCCACCAAGTAACAACTGGTGGGGTGCTGGTTGCCAGGGATCCACTCCACCAAGTAACCACTGGTGGGGTGCTGGTTGCCAGGGATCCACTCCACCAAGTAACCACTGGTGGCGTGCTGGTTGCCAGGGATCCACTCCACCAAGTAACCACTGGTGGGGTGCTGGTTGCCAGGGATCCACTCCACCAAGTAACCACTGGTGGTGTGCTGGTTGCCAGGGATCCACTCCACCAAGTAACCCCTGGAGGCGTGCTGGTTGCCAGGGATCCACTCCACCAAGTAACCACTGGTGGCGTGCTGGTTGCCAGGGATCCACTCCAATAAAAGTAACCACTGGTGTGGTGCTGGTTGCCAGGGATCCACTCCACCAAGTAACCACTGGTGGGGTGCTGGTTGCCAGGGATCCTCCACCAAGTAACCACTGGGGGGTGCGGTTGCCAGGGATCCACTCACAAGTAACCACTGGTGTGGTGCTGGTTGCCAGGGATCCACTCCACCAAGTAACCACTGGTGGGGTGCTGGTTGCCAGGGATCCACTCCACCAAGTAACCACTGGTGGGGTGCTGGTTGCCAGGGATCCACTCGACCAAGTAACCACTGGTGGGGTGCTGGTTGCCAGGGATCCACTCCACCAAGTAACCACTGGTGGTGTGCTGGTTGCCAGGGATCCACTCCACCAAGTAACCACTGGTGGTGTGCTGGTTGCCAGGGATCCACTCCACCAAGTAACCACTGGTGGTGTGCTGGTTCCCAGGGCTCCACTCCACCAGCAGTAGCTGCTATTGATAATACTGTTACTTCTGCTACTGTTGCTGTTACTGCTCCTGCTACCGTTATTACTGCTGCTAATGCTACTGCTGCTAATGCTAATACTGTTACTACTACTGTTATTAATGCTACTGCTGTTTACGCCTATGCTGGTACTGCTGCTACTGCTGCTACCACTACTACTGCTGCTACCTTTGCTACTGATGCTACTGCTACTGCTGGTACTTCTGCTACTGCTGCTTCTACTGCTACTGCTGCTTATGCTACTGCATCTACTGATACCTGGAGTTAGACTCAAGAAATCGTAATGACACGATTGAGTCATGTTGACGGCAGTGAAGGGACTTGAGCTAGAGTTCGTCACGGCCACGCTAGCTGGAGATTCGTCTGTAAAAACTTGCATTTGCGGTCACAGAGGTGCCTGTGCTAACTTTCCTATGGTGTAGAAATATACCTAGTTGGATGAATCTTATTGTGGCTAGCTGGTCTAGTGGCTAACGCGACGGGCTGGAGTTTTGAGACTCTATGACCGCGGGTTCAATCCCGGCCGGGGGTATGGTTTATACCTGGAGTTTACCTGGAGAGAGTTCCGGGGGGCAACGCTCCCGCGGCCCGGTCTGTGACCAGGCCTCCTGGTGGATCAGAGCCTGATCAACCAGGCTGTTACTGCTGGATGCACGCAAACCAACGTACGAGTCACAGCCCGGCTGGTCAGGAACCGACTTTAGGTGCTTGTCCAGTGCCAGCTTGAAGACTGCCAGGGGTCTGTTGGTAATCCCCCTTATGTATGCTGGGAGGCAGTTGAACAGGCTCGGGCCCCTGACACTTATTGTATGGTCTCTTAACGTGCTAATGACACCCCTGCTTTTCATTGGGGGGATGTTGCATCGTCTGCCGAGTCTTTTGCTTTCGTAGTGAGTGATTTTCGTGTGCAAATTCGGTACTAGTCCCTCTAGGATTTTCCAGGTGTATATAATCATGTATTTCTCCCGCCTGCGTTCCAGGGAATACAGGTTTAGGAACCTCAAGCGCTCCCAGTAATTGAGGTGTTTTATCTCCGTTACGCGTGCCGTGAAGGTTCTCTGTACATTTTCTAGGTCAGCAATTTCACCTGCCTTGAAAGGTGCTGTTAGTGTGCAGCAATATTCCAGCCTAGATAGAACAAGTGACCTGAAGAGTGCCATCATGGGCTTGGCATCCCTAGTTTTGAAGGTTCTCATTATCCATCCTGTCATTTTTCTAACAGATGCGATTCATACAATGTTATGGTCCTTGAAGGTGAGACCCTCCGACATGATCACTCCCAGGTCTTTGACGTTGGTGATACTACTGTTGATAATGCTACTGCTGTTGCTACTGCTACTACCGCTAATACTACAGTTTTACACTGCAGGATCATATTCCTTAAGTACAATATGTATGTTATCACACAAGGGTTCTCTCTCTCTCTCTCCTCTCTCTCTCTCTCACACACACACACACACACACACACA